AGCGGCTTTGCTTTCCCGGTGGCTTTGTCCTTTCGTGGCTCGTGCCGGCGCGGTGACAAGCCCGCCGAGCTGGGTGGCAGGGGCTGGCGGCTGGGTCCCGACCCCCCGCCTGCACCGGCAGAGCACCCCGTGCCCACCCTGGGGCTCCAACCGCCAAGCACCGCGTTCCCGAGGCCAAGAGCAGCGGGGAGGCACTGGGACCCGACATGGGGTGGCTGGAACCCCTGGCACCGCAGCTGGGGTCCAACCCTTGCTTGGTGCCTGCTGGTTTCCCGTCGGCGGCCAGAGCATCCCACCGTAACGAAGGGAGAAACCAGAGCTCTTCAGCGACGTTTAAAGCAGTGTTTCAGAAGTGGCTTAACTTCCCCGAGGAGTTTTGGAGCTACGAAAGCTCCACAAATCTCTAACCCTATTGCAAATATATTTATTTAAATGCATTTAACTTTTTATAATCAATAATAACTCAGAGCTGCCTGCAGCTGCTCAGAGGCTCACTAGCATGGTGCCAAGACACAGCAGCACGGTGGAAGAGTGGTTTGGAACAGCTCCAGAGGAGCTTGGGTTGTTTGCACCAGTTCTGGAGCTGTTCTGAAGGATGTGGAGATCTTCAGGGCGTTTCTGGAGCAGCTTTTTTTTGTGAGACCTTTTCACATGGTGTGCAGCAGAGCTTGAGTGCTTCCGAGCAGCTACAAGTATTTTTTGATGAGTTTTAGAGCAGCTTTGGAGCAGCATGCTGTTTTAGGGTTGCTGACGCCTCTTTGCTGTCATTCAGAGGGGATTTAGGGTGGTTTCAAACTGTTCGGAGCACAGTTCAAACTGTTTGGAGAAGTTTAGAGACGTTACTGAAAAGTTTTAACGCTGTTGAGAGGTACATTAGAAAAGTCTGGAGGAGTTTCAGGAGGGTGTTACAGCACTTGAGGCATTTCACAGCCACACAGAGGAGGCTTAGAGTGCTTCAGAGCTGCTACAAGATCTTTTTTTATGATCCATTCTGAGCTATTTCAAGGAGTTTTAGAAGAGTTGAGGACTTTAAGAGCTACTTCGAGCCGCTCCAGGCAGTTTTAGCATCTTGGTGCTTTTTAGGGTTGGTTTGAGGAGCCTGAGAGCTATTTGAGCAATTCAAGTGCTTCATTGCTGCCCCGAGGTCCGTCCTTCCAGAGCTCCGAGCTGTTCAGAGGCAGTTTACAGCTCCTTGAAGTGACCCAGCACCACACCAGCACCCTCAGAGCCATTTATTTACCCGATTTCTAGAGCAGCTTCAAGCTGTTGGAGGTTGAGCTCTTCAGAGGAATTTTTAAAGGATTTTTTAGAGGTGTTTAGAGACAGCTTGGTGCACACTAGAGCAGTTTGGAGTCCTACAGAGGCATTTTAGAGATGCTCAGGGACATTTTAGAGCAGCTCAGGGATGTTTTAGAGCAGATCAGAGCGCATGGAGCAGTTTGAAATAATTTGGGGTGTTTTAGAGAGCTCAGAGTGTGTTAGAGGCATTTCCCAGCATGCAGAGGCACTCAGAGCTCTTTGCAACAGCTCTGGGTGCTCCAGGGCTGCTCAGAGGAGTTCAGAGCAACAGTCTGGAGTCATCCAGAGGCACTCCAGGAGCTGAGAGGGTATTTTGCACGTTAGAGCCCTTTGGGGCAGCTTACAGGGGCTGGGAGGAGGTGGAGGGAAGCTTAGAGGGGTGTGGAGCAGCTTAGCAGGGTGGTTTACAGCCTTTAAGGGATTTTTAGAGTGGTTCAGAGGAGCCGAGTGCTCAGAGGGGTTCAGCACAGCGTAAGAAAGGCAAGGGAAAACAAGCCTCTGTGTCCTCACCAAGTGAGTTCCTGCTGGTGCCAAGCCACAGCCTGGCCCTGTCTCAGCCTCCCCAAACCCTCCAGAGCAGCAGGACACCCTGGGGGGGGACAACAGGGCCAGCTCCGAAGGTGCCTCACCCTGCCTGGACCCCACCAGGAAAATGAAGGGTGAATCCCCCCCCGCCCCCACCAGTTCCCACCTGCACAGCTCAGCTGACTGGGAGGTTTTGGGTCCCTCTGACTTCAGCCCCTCCGGACCTAGCTGGGTCTGGCCTCCCCCATCCTCATTTCCCCCAAAATCTGAGCACTCTTCAGGGCAGGGGCATTTCCACTCCCATCCAGCCCTGCTGGAGAGCCAGCTCTCGGATGCTCAGGATGCTCCGATGCTCGGAGCCACCCCTATGGAAAGAAGGTCTCCAGGCAGGAATAGTAACAGCTTTTAATCTGACAAGAATTGATACATCATTTAAGACAATACTGTTTTTGCCTCTTTTGGGGGGACTTCCTTCACATACCGGTAGGGAAAGAGGAACATTTTTGGGAAGTACAGTTTTTGTTTGTTTTTTTTGTTTGTTTGTTTTTTTCCATAGGGACTTTAAAGCATGGTGAATGTGCAAGTCAGTGCTTTGTTTGCTTAAAACTTTTTCCCGGTGCTTATTTACAGTTACAGTACCTCTTTGTGAGCGACAGGAAAAAAGACGATTGTTTGAACTGAGGATCCGTGATCCCAAGTCGAGAAAGGCAGATCTCCGATATTTATATATTTATACATATATATATATATGCTTTTGTGTATACACAGATACATTTCTCTCTTCTTTAAAGTATTAAAAAAATGATCAACCTTCATTCTATAAAAATACCTACTCTACAAGATAGAAAAATTTTCCCTCTCCAAGTATACACTGATTTACACCCAAAGCTTCTCTGGAAATGTACATTACGTGGCTTCTTCCCGCGGACTCGGGGCAGGGAGGGGAGTGGATGCCGGGGAGGGCTGGGTGTACAGGAGGGGGTGCGGGACCGCTGGGTGCCCCCCTCGCCCAAGGTTTTTGGGGCTCGCCCCCACCCCGCTGCGCCTCGCACAAGGCCACGGTGAGGGGAGTTGAGCACCCAGAGGCGATGTGGAAGAGAGGGTGGAAGAGGGAGGGTCATGGCAGCGGCAGCTCGGCTGGCTCCGGGTATCGGTCCCAGGGCCGGCAGCGCAGGGGACCCGCAAGCCACTGGGGACCCCCCAGCAGGGACTAAGGCTGCGGCAGCTGCCACCTCTCCTGGCCAGCAGCACCCTCCAGGGACAAACGGAGAGCGGGCTGCTCTGCCACGCACCAGCGTGGGAAGAGAGATGTGCCGTGTGCGTGGAAGCGTTTTGGGAGGAGCAGGCACCCCCTCGCCGGTGGCCAAGGGATCGCTGTGGCTTCTGTTTTCAGGCCACTCTGGCATTTCTAAAACCTGACAAGCAGGAAAAAGAACCGCTTTTTGGGGCCCAATGTACTAAATGAAGCCGGATCCTTGGGAGTCCACTGGCTGTCTCCTACCGGGAGCCGGAGAGGAGCAGGTCGGTTAAAGTGGCTGCTCCCTGGGGTCACGCTACGCCACGGCCGCTTGTGCCAGCAAGCCAAAAGCTGTCTGATGTAAACATGGCTTTTGTTTCCCAGGGAGCTGCTGTTGTATTCTCTGGTCTCCTCTCACCAACGGCATAGAGATTTCAGCCCAGGCTGATGCCAGGGGCTGAGAAATGAGAGCGGCTGCCCCATACCCTGCCACAGCGCAGGGAAACAGCAGGGAAAGGCGGCTGGAGCAGGCTCTCCCTCCAGGACTGCAGCTATCACCAGCAGAGCACTGCTCCGGGTGGGAATGGCACAGGCCACTGTCCCCAGGCCAGGGACCTCAGGAGGCAACGCAGAGAGCTCAGCCCTCTCCGCTGCAGCTCCCCAACTGCCCTTGGCCGCTGCGTGTCCCCATCCCGGGCCATGCAAGCCAAGCCGGGACAGGGAGAGGCGGCCAGGACCAGCCTCCAGTGCAAGTTGAAGAGTCACAGCTTTTCCCCCAGTCCCTGCAGGCTGGACAGACAGCACCCATGTGTCTGCAGCTGGGGCCAAGGGGACCTCTCCTCCCAGAGCCAGCCCAGCTCAACAGACACCTGCAGACCCCGTGGCAGCCGGCAGAAGAGCTGGGAGCGGGGAGGAGGGCAGCAGAGCCGTGAACGCCAAGGCATGCCGACGGTAGTGAGCCACGGACAGCAAAAATAAATAAGGAGGCAGGTGACAAAGTGCGCTTACGCCCTGTCCCGAAAACGGCTGCTCCCCTGCCTCTTTCTGCCACCGGTGAGCGAGAGAGGAGCCAGCTAGCTCTCTGCACGCAACCCCTTCCCGAGCAGAAGCGGCAGGGCAAGGATTAACTGCGCCAGCTGAATGAGGACATTTGCATTAAGTTAATTAAAAAAAAACAAAACAAAACAAAAACAAAACCCAAACCAACCTCTACAAGTCCGGGACATGTTTCCCTCTTTCCCAGATCTGCCTCAGTGAGTGAGTGTGTCAGGGACACTTTGGCAAAGCAGATACTTGGGCTGGACAGGGCAGCAAGGGAAAACATCAGCGCCACTGCTTCCTTCTCCATCCCATTATCCCGCAGTTCAGAGAAACCCTCACCTTACAGCCCTCGCGGTGGCAAGCTCTTGTTCGCACACTGCGTGCCAGAGGGTCTGACGCCGCTGTCAGGGCAGTTCCCAGCTTCACGGGTAGCTTTCTCCAGCAGTCCGTTGCCTGTGTTTCTTTTCCAGGTTCCCTTTCACCCCTCAAAACCAGAAGGGTTTCAAAATAACGGAGTCAGACAATAAAGCCTTGCTGCTGGTTTTCTTTTCCCCTGGTCCGCTGGCTAATTCACCCACCGACCTGACGCGATGCTTCCTTGTGCCTTCATCAAGAGCAAAGACGTTTCCAGTCCCTCTTTATCCTCTCAGAGCACCAAATCCACACCCATCGACGAGCGCACAGCCGGCGGCTCTCGGCCGCCCTTACTTAACTTCCAGGATGGAGGGGTTCGTCTCCATGATGGCCACAATAATCCTGTCGATGTAATCCTGCAGGCGGAAGTTGATCTCCTCTTGCTTTTGAATTGCTTCCATGAGCTGCAAGGGAGGGAAAAAGTGAATGAGCGGTCACTGCCTGCCGCTGCCCAGGGACAGAAGCAGGGCTTCTCATGGCTCTGTGCACCCACAGAGGTTTCCCCCTTCTTCACTCTGGTCTGGGATATTCCTGGCCACGTGTAAGTGGCCAGGGAAAATGCCCTCAGCTGCTGCATCTGCTCACTCCTGTCCTTCCTCAAGTTCTCAGCCAGATGGGACCCTGGAGAAAGCAGGGAGCATCACATCTCCCTTTGGCCCCCAAAACATCCAGGTGTGTTTCCCCACTTCTTTGGGCCTGAGAGATTTAATTCTGATGCTTATGTGGGCTTGCACACCAGTATCTCGGGTACAGCCACGGAGCAGGGAGAAGATGTGCCAGAGAAACCAAGATCTCCAGGGTAGATAGATGTCCCAGCTCCCTGGGGTTTTAAGACAGCTACAGACAGACACACCCCATGTTGGCTGGTCTGTCCCAGGAAGAGGAAGGCTGTCACAGGGCAGGCAAAGCAGAGCTGCCAGTATCAGCAAATTGGAAGGGAACAGCTTCCCCTATTCCCAGGAAGGAGGGCTGGCAGGCAGGGTAAGTCCTGCAAGTTCTTCAAATAGTTGCATGGGCATTTCTTTGCTCATAACAGCTTTCAAGTGAATTTTGGGAGTGAGCTATACCACAGTGGTATGGTTTAAGCCCTACCACACAAACCCAAAACATACAGACAGGGCCACATCAGCTCCTCCCAAGCCCTTGGTTGGCTGAGAGGAGAGGAGATGTACCAGCCACCCTGGGAAGATGCAGTTTGAGGTAAGCAGTACCCCGTGGTACGTACCTCGTCTCTGGAGACCGAGCTGATCTCTGCTGCCAGGGATTCAGAGAAGGAGGCTGAGAAGAGGTTCTTGGCTCCCTGGATGCTCAAGTTAATGATCTGTCCGTTCAGTTCATCGTTCTGCTCCTTCAGGTTCCTGTTATCCTGTTCACAACAGACAAACCAGATGCTGAAGCACATGGTGCCCTCAAAGCAGATCCGGCTGGGGAAGGCAGGGGCTTTTGTCCTAACCAGCGGCTCACACAGTGCGGGGAGCAGTGCATGGTCTCCTGCCTCAGTCTCGGCAGAGCCTGGAGAACCTCTGGAAACATGGGATATGCTGGGGAGATCCAGGGGACACATCAGAGAAGAGGGCTCTTGAGTGTACACATGCTGTCCTTCAGAAGAAGGAGCCAACTTCTCCCATCCCAGGACAGGAGAGCAAGCAAGCAGGGGGCTGCCAGATGCACAGTCAGCTCCTTGGGAGGCAGCCCCCGGGCCTCCACTGACCACTCCACAGTGTCAGGGAATCAACATCCCCTTTCGCAGACTGAGCAGCCAAGACGCTTCCCTCCCTGCCCAGCCCTGCATACCTGCTTGAGCTGCTTGATCTCTTGCTCCAGCTCCGTCTCTCGCGTCCTGCTGTTGTACTCCTGGAGCCCCATGCTGCTACTCCTGCCTCTTCGCTGCTCAGCTTCCAGTTTGAAGAGTTGCAAGTGCTCGAGCTGTTTCCTGAGGTCCTCAATGAGCTACAGCACAAGGGAAGAGCACAACTGAGCACCCCATCCCCTGCAAGTCCAGTAGCTTGCACTGGTCATGGCTGGTGTGACAGATGGGCTGTCCCCCACCTGGGAGCAATCCCATCAATTGCTGCAGCAGAATTAACAGACCCTTTCTTGGGGGGCACACAGCTTCCCCTTCCTCCACCATGCCTCTAGCAAACAGGAGAGGGGGAGCTACTTAAATACATGAGAGCAGCCCTGGAAGGACTTTGTTGGAGCACCAAAGACACTGGCTCTGGGTCTGCAATAGCAGACAGCCCCCCCGCAGCAATGCAGGCACCTGCTTGGGCAGCTCCCTCCTGCCACAGCACCACGAATCCCTGTCTCACCCGAGTGCTCTCAGAATCACCACAATGACAATAATTTCCTCTTTGAGGCCCAAAGCTCCTTTCCTACCACAACAGCAAGCCCAGCTTGAGCCTCCAGCTGGAATTACCAACCACAGACACCTGGAAGGGGCCAGAGAGAGACTGTGTTTCTGCCCCCAAGCACACAGAAGCTGGCAGCTCTCACTCAAGCAGCCTCGCACCCCTCTCCTCTTGCATGCTAACGCCTGCTGACACCACGTGCCATTGTCACAGTGCTTCTGCCACCGCTCCTTTGATGCGGAAGAGAAACAGGCCCCACGGGAATGGGCCAGTGTGGCACAACCCCACAGGGGTTGCAGATGCAGGCAAAAGCAACAGATGTTACATAGTTAAGCTGCTGTACTACCTTTCTCTGCCCAGGCAGGACCAAATGCTCCAGTTACACCTATTTCTGGAGAGGCTGCCAAGGCCAGCTTCCCCACATAGCCCTAATTTCGGGGACTAGCAGGACAGGGCTGTGGCAGGCAGCCCCGACTCTACTTACCTCCTGCGTCGACTCCTTCTCCTTCTGAAACTGGTGCCTCTCCTGACTCAGCCTGTCCCCCATCTTCCTCTTTTTCTCCTGCTCCTCTGTGAGCTGCACAGTGAGGTCTTCAATCTCATCCAGCAGCTTCTGCTTCTCCTGTAATGACACGAAAGGGGAGAGTCACAGGGCCTGTCTTCTTTCAGTGCTGCCAGGGCTCTTCCCACTTGCTTAAGGACACGGCGCATGCTGAGCACCGCAGGGAAGGCTCTTCTCGCTGACGCATTCGGATGCTCTGCCTGCTGGGATTTCATTTGCTGTCTGAAGGCTTCAGAGCCCGAGTGCTTTGGCAGCAGCAAGAAGAGCCACACACCAAAATAGCACTGCTAAGAGAGAGGTAATAAGAGATAACTCAAGAATAAATGCACACAGGCAAATACCCACATTTGTGCAGCTTTCTGGGCAGCACGATCCTGGCATGGGACATGACTTGGGTGGGACTGGGGCCAGCACAGGGACTAGAGGTCAAGAAGAGACATTAAAATCATAACGCTCCTTAGGTCTGAATTTCAGAAAAGCCATGAATCCCAGATCTTAAGCCACTCTAGGGATGCTCATTCTCGGTTTCAGATATGAAAGAATTTAACTGAGGACTGACCCAAGAAGGAATATGACCAGTTCAAGCAAGGATGTGAAACATACAGCTCAGCTCTCCTGCTTTGTCCCCTTCCTGTACTCAAAGCTTTGGCAGAACATTTGAGATAGCAGGTAAAGCTTGTCACTTGGTGACAACAGCCCTGTACAGGACACTTCCCTGTACAGCAGCACCCTTCTGCCTATGACTACTTCACCTCCTCCCCAGGCTCACAGCTTCCAGCCTGGCTCTCACCGTGAGGAAGGTTTTGGCTTTCAGAAAGCCAAAAAAGCCACAAGACCCCAGCCAATGCTGGTGCTGGATGGCCCATGCCATGAAGAGGTAAGGAGCAGCTCTGAGGGGAAGCTCCAGCTGCTGGGTCTGGGGTGTCCTGCTCTGTGGAGCAGAGCACCAAAAGCACCACACCAGCAGGAAATGCAATGCTGACAACAAAATCCTGATTTCAGACAACAGACAAGACAGCAGTTCATCAGCAGGGCTTCTCTCCTCAGCAGGGAGGGGCAGCTATTGCACCTCTCACTCCTCCTTAATCCCGTTAACTGTGGAGAAAAGCAGCACTGCTCTGCAGAGAGATTAAGGATCAAAACCAACTTTGTGTGGCTGAACACACCTAGGCAGGAAATTCATCCTCAGACCCACAGTGGTTTTCCTATCCCCAGCCTCAATGGACTGTGCTTATAAGGTCTTGGCAGATGAAGACCACTTCATCGTGGCCACATCAGGTAAAGATAGAGCTGCAGTGCTCTCCTGCAGGCCCAAAGACTGCAAGTGGATGAAACACTTGAGGGCCTTCAGCTAGGCAGAGAGGTTTGATTTCACTTAAATTTTCATCTTACATCTGCCACAAGCTCGAACAGAAACAAAACACAGCCTTTGTACCAGATATTACATCTGTAACCCACATTCTCTCAAAAAAATGAGGATCTTGTCCATCCCATGGAGACTGTGGCACCTCGACAAGCCTCCCACCCCGGCCCTGTCAGCAACTGCACGGCCTTGAATCCTGAGCAGGGCGAGAAGGGCTATCTGGGAGACAACACAGCATTGTGAAGACTCAACTCGCAAATCCCAGCGAGGGTGTATCTGCCCGGGCAGGATGCAGAGATGAAGCATGCCTGCTCCTCTTCCTCCCTTGCAGCAGACTGTCCCGCTGCGGGCTGCGGCCGCAGGGATGGGGACAAGCTTCCACAAGAGGGCACGAGTCCCCTCCTAAGCAGCCAGGACAGGGCTGCCACCGCTGCACGCTGCGGCTCCACGCAAGCTGCACTGTCACAGAGAGATTTATTAGGGGTTTGTTAATCCCAGCTTCCAAGCCAGACACTGGGAACCTGCACAGACTGCGGTATGGGATAGTTCTGGTCTGAGGCGAGGTCTGCGGGGACTGGAAGGCAGAAGCAGCTGATTTGTTCGTTACATCAAACGGATCTCACGTAGACCTTTCATGTAAATGAGAATTTCAGCCTCAGCCATGTAAGGCAGCACATGGGAACCCAGAAACACAACTCCGGCTTGGGCACCCCAAGCACACACGGTCCTCACCTCCTCAAGTCTTTCAATGTTAGCTTTTAAACAAGGGACACAGGATCTTAGCTCGCTGTTCTCATCATCCAGTTGCTGCAGCCTGCAAAAGTAAAGAGATGTGTAAGAAACTCACCCAAGCATCCCAAGTGTAGGAGACTTAGTTGAAACATCACTAGGAATATTAAACCAGGACCTGCTGAGGGCAAGCCAGCAGGGATTTATCTTTTCAAAGCAAACCCTTAAGACTTCCATTATTTCTACTCCCAGGGGAAAAAGTGAGGCATCCACATGATTTCTGGCAAGTCTGCTGTCCGGTGCCATGCCCTTCTCAACCAGCTCCAACACTATTCTTTAGGCCAAGGGCTTCATCAGTCCATGGGCAAGCCTCAACACTAGGCACCAAAAAGCAGACACATTGCCTGGGCAGAGTCAGAGCAGGGGTTCAGAGAGGGCTTTAGCTTTGCATCCTCCAGGCAAAGTAACATCAATTTGTCATGGTAACTGTCCTACTACAAGCCTGGTAAAAAAAACCCACTGCCTTCATCTTTCATTTACTGCAAGGGTTGAACAATAGCAAAACGCATTCTGGAAAAGCAGAAAAACCCCTGTCAAATAAATGAAACTTCTCCCACACCACTTTTTTCTTTGGAAGCCAACAAGGTGGCATGAAGCATCCCATCCAGGATATTGCCTTTTGGAAAACTCTTCCTTCCCACATATTTGCTTGTTTCTGTGAAGGTGGAAAACATGTGAGCATCAAACATACTTCCATGGGTCATTCATGAGAACAAGCACAAACAAACTACCTCTTCACTGTGGGGCAGGCGCATGGATAGAGAATGTGAGCTAAATTTAAACTGCATCAGGGAAATTCAAATAAAGAGTCGGAGGCTACGTTTACAGAGGAGCTTGATTTTGGAACTATGGTAGGAGAAGTACCCAAAACTCAGGGTTTATAATGACTTTAGTTACACCTTCAATCAAGTTAAACTTGCTGTCTACTGCACTTTGTCTCCCCAAAGGCTGCAGTTGCAAAGTGGCAACCTGTACACATATTCCAGTGTGTACATGTGGATCCAGGAGACCTGCCACCACCCAGCCCTGCCCCAGCCCCACCTGGCCTGTAGGTTCTCAATCTCAATGCTCTTCTCCCTCTCCATTTTGCTCAGCAGCTCCCTCTGCTTCTTGATCTCCTCCAGGAGTGTTTGGTCAGCTCTCAGCTCCTGCTCCTTCAGCTGTTCCTCAAGAGCATTTGCTCTGCGGAGAGGAGAGAGAGGATTAACCCTTCCTGGTGTCTCACCCCCGGCACGCTGCCATCCCAAGGGATGGATCAGACCCTCTTCCCAGCCTTCCTCCTACTGCACAGGAGAGCTGGGAGAAGCAGACTGTAAAATAGAGCGAGCTTTCAGAGAAAGTACACTTATCGCCATCTCAAGCAGCAGGTGTATGAGGGCTTCACTTCATCCCAGCAGATGCAGTGGGAAAGCAACATGGTCCATGAAACCCCCAAGGACACTACTGCTGACCCACATGACAGTCAAATAAAATAAGCCAGGTGGTACATGCTGGTATGGTCTCTGTCTAGTTTTAAGTCTCCAGGGTGCATCAAAACCCTTTTTAAGGAGGAGGCCAACAAGGGGGTGAGGTGAAGGTGAAAGGACAGTAATCATTTTCTAACCCCTGGCCTGTGGGTCACAGTCACAACATCACTCAGAACAAGCTACTTAATCAGAATCTCATAGAATCATCAAATCATTTAGGTTGGATGAGACCTTTAAGGTCATCGAATCCAACTGTAAATCCCAGGGTTGTGGTTTCACCTGTAGCAGCCATGGCAGAGAAATTCTCCTTCAGCCGTTTCTAGCATTTTGGGCTCCCTTACTCTGCCCTGAAGTAGTCTTCTCTTCTCTGGGCAATGAGACAACAGCCCCAATCCTCCTCCTTTTCATTCTCTCATGTCCCCAGCAAAAAAATATGGGATCTGCAGGTCAACCTTCTCCATGTGCCAGCATAACAGCAATTTACACGTGGTCCTGAGACTGTGACAGTGCAGGCAGTGGCCGTGTTTGCTCAGGCAGGGCAGAGGTATTTGCCAGCACGCCTACCTGCCCTCTGGAGCAGTCACAGGTAGCCCATGTCACTGCGCTGCAGTAAATCACCCAACCCCAGTAGTGGTCCAAGAGCCGAGGTTTGCTAGGGGGCTGGTGTGCTGGAGTTTATGCAATAGCTTTGCATAGGCAGGCGGGGAAGGCTTTTGCCAGATGAACTTATTCTTCAACTAGCAAAGAGTACACTTGGGGCTTTACTTGATTGAAAGCTGACTGACACTTCTGGGCCAAGGCGCTAAAGTGAAAACATTTCCCTCGCTGCAAAGTTTATCAGGGCTTAGAGAAACCTTTGTTTGAATCACTCAGTTCCCTGACACGATTGTTACTTAACAATCTTACAGCCCTATAGATAAACTCCTGCTGGGTTTATCTGCTGAGGGTAAATACACTGCTGGAAGAGAGAAGCCTGCCAGATTAGTAAAGACAGTGATTACATCAAATGAGATCCAAAGGGCTACACCCCAGCCAGGATCCAAAAGCAACAGGATCAAGGCTGGCTGTGGGCAGGGTAGACATGGGTAGTAGGGACCCTACCGTACCTTCCACCCAGACCTAATGGGTGAAATAAGGGCCAGAAAGAGTCCATATAGAGCAAGTATGAAGCATATATCCTCCCTGAATGGGAAGCTTTCCAAGAAGCATGACCCCCCTGCAGTCCTCTGAGCCAACCCCTGGAGCTCCAGAGCTCCACAGAGACCTTTCAGGATGGACATGTGGGACAGGGAAGCACATAAAAAAAGATATTAAAAAAAGATCTAAAAAGCAGCGTTATAGCTACTTCTGCTACTTCTGCTATATCTGAGCAGAACATGGCGAAGGAGGTATTTGCTGTTTGTCCTGGCTGAGCTACAAGCCATTTCCTGCACTCCTGGGAATTTGCCAGAGACCCAGAAAAGTGTGTGCAGGATGCTGTGATCCCACACATGGCCCTCATTCAGAGAAGGCAGCCTGAATCCTAGCTAGATTTAACCACAGCTGCCCTCTGCCAGGGCAGGATTGAATTGTCAAGTGCAGAGCTGTGAAGCTTTCCTGCTATTTTCTATCTCCCTCCTCTCCTGCTGTCTCCTTTCCCCACATGCTCTGGCAGCTCCTGCCTGCCATCAGGCAGGCAGCTGGGCCGCGGGGAAGGCACGGGCTGCTGCAGTACATGGAGGGGGAAAAGGCACCACAGGCGATGCTAAGCTTCATTTTGGCCATGGCACAAGCCCGGCTCCCTTACCTGTGCACGAGCTGCAGGTTTTCCTGCTTGAGGCGGCTGTGCTGCTCACCATTAGCAGCTGTGTCCTTCTCCAGCTCCGTCACCCGCTTCTCCAGAAAGACCACCTGTGCAACATGAGAGGGGAGGATCAGCTGCCCGTGCTTAAACCCGCTGGCAAAGTGGCACCAAGTGCCAGAGCAACTCCCACCACCTCCAGCATACCATGCAGGTGCTCCCTGCTCACTTTGAGGCTGCCTCAGTTTGTTGCACGGATTCAGAGCCGGTCACTCTGATGCAGCTCCTGGCATTACCTGTGTCCTGCTCTTCACCGCACAAGGCAGCCTGAGCTGCAGGAGCCATCACTAGGGCTTGCTCCTGGGCGAGCTACTTAAAAATAGATGGTTGCCACTGGAATCAGGTAGCCATGCCTCAATTTAAAGCATCCTTTTAAAACATCCTTTTACACCCTGGTTTTGATGTCTCCCATGTACCAATACAGAGCCAAATGCTTCACTCTTTCCTTTCTTCATACCCTTCATGATGATGTCCTACATGGAGGTCCAGAGGGAAAGACCCCAGTTGGATCACCACAGCTCTGCTGCATCCAAGTGCAGACCTGAGGCTGGGGATAAGCACCTGCTGCCTGAAACAGGACTGAAAGACCTTGAGTTCACAGCTATACGTAAATAAAGTCACATAAGAGGAAACAATGCTAGCTGGTAGGAAAGGATCAGAGATGAGTATTTTCTCCCTGTACCTATGAGGGGCTCATTTCAGCTGTATTTGCATTTTCATTCACTTTCCCTAAATAGTGCACAACTTTGAAGAGCAAAGGGGGCTGGGGGTGCCCCTCTACTTCCCACCCAAGTAGGAGTGTGGGTGGGTGGGGAACCGCAGGAGGACAGAGTTCGTGGTCCCAAAAATCCCATTTATACCCATACAAGAACAATCAGGAAAGACAGGCAATTAGGAGCATGTCTGCAAAACCCGAATCATTGCTCTGGGGAGAAGGGCAAGTGACATACAAGTGTATTAAAAAAAGAAACATGCAGAGACACAAGGCCTTTTCCAGAAGTACACACATGGTTTCCCAAGCCAGATGCCTTAAGGAATGCGAGTGTTTTATTCAACTTTCAGACTTGGAAAAATGTTGATTTTTCATTCTTTTTTTAAAGGTCTTCTATGCATTATAATTATATCCGAGTGCAGCCACACACATATGTATTTCTCTTCCACATGCTGCTCCATGCAGCTCTCTATTCCTGATTCCAGAATTAAAAAGTCATTTTCAAGGAGTTTCAGGACTGCAGCAGACATTTGCACAAGCCACAACTCACCTGAAAACTTTCCTTCTTTCCCTTAGCTATTTTAGCTGGGGATGCTCAAACAAAAGCTTTCTTGTGCTCCTGCCAAGCTCCCATTTTGTCCTATAATCCTTTTCTCTTAACACCCCAGCAAAACCCAACAGGACCAGCACAAAATCAGCTTTATATCCTGACGGCATGAGCAGCAGCAGCAAGAGCGTGCCAAGGAACGGAAGTCCTTGTTTCATATCAGGCGACTGCTCATCTCCGAAAAGCAGAATTTGAGAACATCTTATTACATGAAGCAGAAGTGAAAATACAGCCTGCAAACAGCTGTCAGCACGGCAGCACACCTCCACCCCCCAGGAGAAGGCACCAGTGCCACCTCCTGACTCAACACAGGACCTCTGCAACTCAACTCAGAGCGCTCTCGTTCTCCTTCCCCTTGATGTGGAGGGCTTCGTATGTCCCACCTGCACTGAGCTACCCAGTGCCAGCTGCGCAGTAAGAGAAGCTTCAGCCTAACTCCTGCCTGGGGATCTCGGAGCACTGCAAGCCACTACACGCTCCAGGATAGCGTAGACAGCATCAGTCTTACCTTGTCTGTGATGTCCTCTTCTGTACACTCCAGTGTATCCCGGTAAGACTCCTCCATCACCCCCACGGACAGTGTGCTTGTCTGATGCAACTGTCTATAACACAGACAACCCACCCCAACCCACAGCAACACGAACATTAGAGCGAACATTGCAGGACATGGCAATTTCAGACGACAACTGCTCTTGCAGGATACAGTCCTCTCTCTCCCCTCCTGAGCTGCCACCTCCCTTTCCAAGGGGATTTAATAGCACTGCTCCTTCTTGGGCTGCAGGATTTGCAGCAAAAGATGGCATGGGCCAGGTCCTTCTCACCACCACAAGCTCCAACGGGCAATGAAGCTCACTGCCCCAGTGTGCCCAGATAACAGGGCTGAGTGGGTGGCTGCTTACCAGCTCAATGAACGTGCCCTGCCAGGGAAGCGCACACGTGGACACATGCTGCTGGTACTTCATACCATGATCATTTGTTCTTGCTCTTTGGAATGGGAAGAGATAAGAGCTCACTCTTTTCACTTTCTTTCTTTATGAATGTACCAAGGCCATGTATTATCCAGCAAAGGACAGAGTACTCCGCTCTAGCCACTGATAAGGTTAATAAGAAGTGGGGGGCAGCGGGTGTAAGGGGAGGGAGGAGAGAAAAAAAAAAACCCAAACTTGTTGTGAAACACCCCAGCCCACCTCCCTGCACCAGCCACGAGAGCTAAGACTGAGCTAATCATTAGCAAGGCCTTGCAACACTGGTGTCCACAGCTTCGTGGCTATCTAAAGGACACTCCGTGGAGGGGCTGACCTGTGCTTAATCCTTGTGGTATCACTGTAGATCAGCTCCATTGTCTCCTGGCACAAGAAACCACTATTGCCACGGGGAGGGGTGGTTGTATTCCAGCTCTGTGAACCTCAGGCAGATGCTGCCTGGAGAAAACCACTCTGCCTTCCCACTGTAACTCAAACGATGAGCAGCCTGATCTACCTTTGAAGCCAGCGCTGCTTTGAGCTGGAGGTGAATGAGAAAACCACAGAGGTCTCTTTGAACCTCAGTTTTTCCTAGGGATTTGTAATGTGGGCTCTCAAATTCACCCTGCTAAGCAATATGCTCATGCAAGTATTCATGAAGCGTAAGTGGCATTTACCAAAGAGACCACAGCTGAGTACCAGCCTTATTTTGCATCCTCACCCTGAGTATATATTTAGATTCTAAAGTCTGAGGCACATTTGTCATTTAAATCATGCCAAGCACAACAGGGCCTAAGCAGCTGAGATTTCTTGGCACAACCAGAACCCAGTAACAAAAATCAGGAAAGAGCCCTTACCACAATAAAATCAATTTCCTAAAAGCAAATGTTTTGGTATTATTCAGTAATTACAGTATTTGCAACAAAGAGCTTTCTGTGGGCTGATCTTAAGGATCTGGCTCTACTTTGCAGCAAACCCCTGTTATCTCTCTCGTTATCACAAACTAAACTCGACTACTCTTGAATTAACCAATATTTACCTAAGCCCACAACTTCCAGTCTCAGAAAAGCATCTTGCAAATGCAAAGGGCCAGGAAAGCTCGATCCCCCATAAAAGAGGGCATCTCCATTCCCAGAAGTTTAATTCAAATCCTCCCTAAATTTGCTCTGCCAGACATGGGACAAAAACTAGTCCTAAAACAGGAAACCTGGGGACAGGCTGCTCCCTTCAATCTTCTTTCCTGCCAGTGTTTTTAACAAAGATCTAGAAACTAAGATGACCGGAACTAGGAAATGTAATATCAAGGACCTGCTTCCTTGCCAGGAGAGGAAATCGTGCCAGGGGAGACTTGCTGACCACAGGAAAATTGGAGAAGGGAAAGGTGTGAGAGCACACGGGAGGGAGAGGCATACAGAAGCTGCTCTGGTCAGTGCAGGGAGCAGACTGAGTGCCAGGGCACGGGGATACGAGCACCACCCAAATTGAGGTGCCTATTGCTTTGCAGCATCCTTGCTCTGCTCAGAAACAAGCAAAGAGAAAACCAACAAATGCAGAGGGCAATCTCCCTCACCCCCGAGCAGGGCAGAGGCAAGGAGGACAGCTAAGGTGAGCCTCAATATATTCTTAAAAGCACGATGACATGGGAACAGGAGGGATGGTGAAGGTGGGGAAGGAAAGACAAGCACCAGGTGCCATTGAGAAGGGATGGACCCTCTGCCCCAGCGATTCAGAGCAAACTCTGCAGCTTTTCCTGTGCAGTCAGGGATAAAAATGCCCACAAGGAACAGGCGACTGGCATCACATGAGATGGTCGTGCAGGACAGAAGCAGTGCAGCATTAAACCCCAGGGTGGGGTTACCTGCAGCCAGCCCCCAGGAACTCCCCAAAGCCCCTGACCGAGCAGGGAAGGCTGCTCCTGCAAAGTCAAGTGCTGAGGATTACACTGAGCAAAGTAAAACAGAACCAAGAGACTTGTCTAAGGTGGCTGGCTTTTTTGGGGTGCTGCAGAAATCCCTCCAAGTGGGTGTACTGACTGCTCCGGTCTTCTAGAGACTCACCATGGTGACACTGGGGAGGAGACAGCCCAGCCAAGCAGTCCAGAGGGACATGCCCTTCTAGAGACTCCTTCCCCACTCCACATGCCCCCCCTGCTGGGGCACTGGCAGGATGGAGGGGGAAAAGCACCCCTACTTTTGTTCTGGAAGAAATCAGGTTGACACCAGTCTCCAGCTGCATGCATGAGTGAGAAAACCCCATTTCAGAAGAACAGCTATTGCAGACTATATCAGAATTAAACCTGCTTTTCCCCAGCACTATGCCACACACCCAGAAGTACAATACTGCAAGCTTATTTTGACAGTCTTCCTTCTGCAGGCCCGGCAGCTAGTACAGACAACCCTCTCACCAAGCAGTAATAGGAGTATAAGCTTACCTTGCCACCTTCTTGCTTGAGAGTCTTTTATTTGGACTGCAAAATGAAGAAAAAACAGGAAAGAGTTAGGATAGCTGACAGTGGAGAGCAAGAGAAACAGGAAACTGCAAGTACTCTGGGGCACATCCTTTGCTATGGCAGGGGAGCGCCCACACGGCATGCACAGCCCGGCCACCCCCAGTAAAAGGCAGGCGAGGAAACCACTCACATATTTAACAATGCAGCGATAACAAACCAAATGGAATAACGCCACAGAAAACCTCACCACCTCCAGCAACGGTATCCTCTCACCGGCTGATCCCTGTCCTGAAAGCTGATCCCCGAGGAAAGCGCTAATAATAGCGGTGAGTTTGGTGGGCTTCAGCCTGGCGCCGACGGCAGACCAAGCTACGTCTCCTGCACCCCACATTACCCCAGCCCTCCCTTCCCCTGCTACCCCCCCAGGAGCTCCCTGCCCAGCAGCTGGGGGACAGGGCACAGCTCCTGCCTCCAAATGGGCACTTCCATCCTTCTGCATGCTGGTTTGCACTTCTCACAAAGATTATTCTCACTATTAGGCTCTGGATCGCCAGAGAATTGCTGCCTACTTGCAGCTCAGAGATTTTAGAAGCTGTCAATCATTTCCCATTCTGGATTTTAAGCACAGGCACTGTTATAATTGCTGGGCTGGGGTACGAGCTCTCCTTTGCACAGATAACTGACGGAGATCACACACCCCGGCTCCGTATATGCCCGAACCAGCTGCCACCATACCACAGCGGTCAGGGTTTAGCTAATGCTCAACGTGACCCACAGTACTAACAGCCAAGGTCTGTGTTACCCTGCCCCTGCCCCTTGGGATGGGGCTGCAGGCTCTCCCCGCTGGGAAAAAAAAGCCTTTTTCAGAAACAGCTACTTGCTAAGATGCTTCTTCCAGTCCTTCAGTCGTGACTGATGCAGCTGCATGCTAGTGAAGCAAGCGGGGCTTGAATCTCACTCCTCATCTTCCACCCAAACACACACTGTTGTCAAACAGATGCCACTGGGACACATCACTGATACCAAATCATCACTGAACGATGGCAGTAAACACAGCTCTAGCCCGAGCAGAGAAGCAGCAATTGCATTCCCTGATGCTTAGCTCAGTTTAAAGAAAAAATAAAAATAAAAATCATCTGGGAGTCCATTCCTGCCTAGAGCTGCAACAATTACATTAGTTCTCAGAAGGAGGAATTAAAAATAGCTGAGGACAATTTTCTTTTTTAAAAAAACAGTGACCAACCAGGGGCTGTTGTCAGGGTTACCAGCCCTCGTGTCAAAAGTGCATGCTCAAACCCCTTATTTCCAAGGAGTGCAAAAGCCGCTGCTGGCCAGGCTTCAAGGACGCTCGGCACCCGCCTGAGGGGAGGAGGTCAGGCCCTCGTGTTTGCCAGCAATTGTAACGAGTCACGTATGTCCCAGCACCGGAGAGAGAAAAAATATTTTTCTCTGCAAACAGCTTATCGGAAAGCAGTGCTGGCACCTGCGGGTGTCTCTGGAGGGGACGAGACACACAACCTCTGCTTCAAGGACACCAAAACAAAATATACTTTCACAAAACTGGCTCATCTCAAACTCCTTGCGGATTTCTTCCCTGCCTTCCTGTGCCATGGGCTTGGGCAGCAGTGCCCCAATGCTGGGACCAGGCTCCCCACCTTATTCCAAGTATAAAACACTGTATATACGCCCACAGCCTTTAAGACTGAGGCTGTTACATGGTGGCTTGGGCTTCACCCCAGCTGCTAGCATCCTCTGGAGCGGGTGTCTTCAGGCTTTGCCTCCCAGGCACGGTGCGAGTCTGCTTGGCCCAGATTTTGGTCCAGTTTCTGCTGCCCTCTTCGCTTGCAGTCTAGGACTTGTCCCCTTACACTGAGGGCTTCACGTTGCTGGTGATGCTGGGAGTAAACAGGTCCTGCCACATCCTACATGCTGCATGGGGACACCTCTTGTGTCCTCACTGCAGAAAGGGTGGGTAATGCCCCCCCATCAGGTCAGTGCGCAGGAGCACTTGGAACAAATTTCCAGCAAATTTGTGCATAGGAAACCCTGAACACAGATGGAGGAATCATACCTACTTGTCCTGAGCCCAAAGGGCACACATTAAATCAAAAATCTATGGAATTCCCACCGTGACACCATGGGACGGGGAAGCTTCCTCTGGAAATCCCATCCATCATAGAAGGCTCTGAGGTGTTAGTTCAGCTTTGCAGGTAAATTTGGTGGAGAAAGCCTGAAATGGAGTGGGGCTACTGGCATATCCAGGGAAGTCTATTGTTCCCCTTAACTACATAACCTGAGACCCATCACTGACCCTCAAGGCCTCCAACAGCAAAGGCAACTATTTACCCAAGAAAGAGAAAGGAAGAGAAGTACTTTTTCCATTAAAAAATTTAAGGTCAAGCTCCTATTTGTTTTCCAGTTGTCTTCCCATAGCTATATAGCCCAGGAGAGTTCCCATGTCACACTGTCCCTGTAGAGGACAGATAGAGACCAAAAGCACGACCAAAACCGGGCTTGAAAAAGCACACCAGATGCGAGAAGAATGATTATCATTAATGCCACCATCCTTCCACGGACTGCAAACAGGTCTGAAAAAATAAACAAATAGAATCCCTCCCCAGCTGTCAAATCAGCAAGTCCAGCTGCTGGCTAGTAGACCTCAAACGTTACGTTCAAAAACTCGTGAAGTTCCTACCCAAAGGCCCCGGCGTCTATCACGTCTACTCAGCTAGTGGTGGCACATAGGTGGGCAGGCAGCTGGCAAAGCTGGGTGAAACAAGATTTTACTGCTGCAAAGCAAAAGCGTCTACAGGAGAGGCCCCAAGTCACAGAGAGCAAGCTGATGTTTCCAGATTACTGCTGCAGTGGGAGGACGGGCTGTACCTACCCTTCCAGGTTGAACCAGCAACTCGGGCATGCCTCCATACTGGGCATTTTTGGCCAGAAGACCTGGCAGTCTTTTCCTTGGTGACAGAAATACTGTACATGATCAGCTTACGGCTTCAAGTCCCAATGCAAGGACTGCATTGCTCGGAGCGTGGAGAAGCACCCACCACTCAGCAGGACATGCAAAGAGGCTGCCCAGAGCAGAAGGGAAGACTCTCATTGTCTGCCAGCCTCCACGGCTCAGATTAAAGGAAACTTCTGCTCACCCTCTATAACATTATTACAACCTTTACCACCTGGAGAGGCTCACCTCGTTTGAAATTCATCCCCTTTCACAACCACAAATCAAGCAACGCACCAGCAAAGGAAAGCTGTGCAAGACAAAGAGAGTCTTCCCCTCCAGAACATCATTCCCAACACTGAAATGGCCACACACAAGCTCAATTACCTATTCATTTCAAGATCATTCAGGCGAGCAGAAAGATCCTCGAGGCGGTTGATTTGTTTGTGGCACTGGCTACAGTAAAACTCAAATGCTTCATCTGCGATAATGCTGTGCAGTTTCGCAGCGAGCGGATTGGTGCTAGAGAAATCACAAGGGTCATTTTAACAGGACAGAACAGACAGGGCTGATTTTTGTCTGTGGCTTCCACAAGCTGAGCGTACATTTGGGCAGGGGAGCTTTTGGTGTGAGATACAAGACTTGCAATTAAAAACTTCAGGGCAGACTGGGTCACCTCCCCTCTCGATTTTAGAAGTCAAATCACAGTCAATATGGAGTTGCTATAAATTAGCAGGACTTCCATCACCTTCCTCCCAGAGACTTATAGCAGCTGAGCTTGGCCCATGTTTCCGAACCCTTGTGCCGGCCAGCTCTTGTGGAGGACCCCCTGAGTGCCCAGGGAAGGTGAGGTGCATGCTTTCCACAAACCTACACAACTACAAGGTTTATTTTCCAACATGATTTTCCAAGCAACCCATCTCAGGAGGCTCTAGCAATTGTCCTGGTTTGCCTTGGTAAATGCAGACCGAACTCACACACCACTGGATTGGGTGCCATGAGCGAGAGCCAAATCCTTTGGTTGGTCACACCGTTTTCCAACAGGATGCTTTAAAAATAGAGCAGCTGTGCTGCTGTGGACCCTCTGTTAGTAACACAAACAGTCAGACTTTCATTGCAAACAGCTTTCAAGCTGAGCTTAAAAAGGTGGTTGCAATTCAACTGCTCTCTCCTACAAAGTGAAACACAGAGAAACTAAGCAGCGGTGGTGCCTTACTGTAGGGAACATCATTTGGCAAGAGGACATGGGGGTCTACAGGACTTTAACAGCTTGGGAAGCTAATGGGTCCGATCAGCTTTTCCTTTTCTGCTACTGACGTGGAAAGCATGCTGCCGAGGCATTCACCGACACTTGGCAAACCAGGGAGCCATTTCCCCCATCTGACACGACTTGGGCAGGACAGAGTTTGGTCAAGGATGCCATAAATCCTTTATGTGGGAAAATGTGCTTCTGGAAGCCACAGACTTTAATCAAAGAAAGGTTAATAGTGAAAAAACAAAGTAGTTCAATAAGAAAGACAGGTAAAGGTGTGAGCAAACACAAGCAAGCTTAAAACCAAAAGGCATCTGAAAGGGCTAGTCAACCCCGTGATACAGATACACACTGGCAAGTCCTGGCCCGGGAGATGCTGAGTGCGTGGGACACCCAGGGAGGGGTCCCCTGGCTCAGCACTTCTGCATAACCCCTCATTGACATTTTTGGTGGCAGTGGGATGTCAGCAGCCCAGCCATCCCCAGGGTCAGGCCTCTGAGTTTGTGCCGTCTGTACAGTATTTCCGAGCCCCTTTAGAACAGGCAACTGGACAACAATAAATGCTGAATTGCTCATCTCTTCCCATTCCTGGAAAAAAAAAATATTGAAAAACATTCCCCCTACCCTCTGGGGCAGGTTTGGACCCAGGATAATCATCATCCACCAGCAGTCAGTTCAACTGCTCAGGCTTTGTGCAGGGTAAGAGCTGACAGAAGTTTTATGGCACCTGGAAGAAGTGATGTGCCCTTTGCTGGGCTCTGCCCCCGTGCCTGGCTGCACGAGCCCTGTTCAGTGAGTCTTCCTCACCCCTGCCGGGAGGCAGAAACAGCTCACCCAGCTGGGCGCATCCCTGGGTGAGGTGTGAACCCGAATCTTAACAAGCATTAATCAAAATGGGAAAAGAAGCGTAGAGAACCCACAGGCCAGCCTGGCAACTCTTCGGGTGTGTGCAGATATACTTGGCCTCTGGCCGCGTTGGTTGTTTGCCCGTTGAGTGGGTGAGAGCTCAACCGCACTGCGCCTTGGGGTGTCCCCACCTACCCCTCGTGGCAAGCCGCCACGCTCTGCACCATATGCAGCCTTCCTGCCTCCTCCCTCCATCTCGTGGAGTAATGTTCGTCTTCCACAGGTCATCGGCACTTACTGACACAGCACATTGGCAGCCGTAACGGGTGCGTGCAAGGAGTTTTTCCTTTCAGTTGCCATTCATTTCCCACCAAGCGTTGCAGAGAGACTTTTCCTACTGGATGGATGTGCCAGGGAAGAGGTAGCAACCCAAGAGGAAGGATCACAACACACACACAAGGACTAAGCAGGAAAATGCAATACCCCATGGTCTTCCCTGAAGGCTCTTGGGTTTTGTATTAGTCCTCTGGTGAAGATCTGGAGCTGTGGCAGGAAAATTTGTCAGTGTTATTCCTGTTTAGAGACTCTAGTAACATGGAAAGGGTGCGTGGCGATGTGACTGTTTACAAGCGATACTGCTCCTCATATTCAAACCTCAGCCAAAAAACCAAAAGTTCAGCCTGAACCAGAGATATCCTGTAGGTCTTTAAGGTTTCACTATGTTTAAACACTCTGGGGAGGCAGGGCTATGTTCAGAAAAAACAGCACAATCTCAGAGAACCTTCATGCATGCAAAGATAATCCAAGGTAAGGGCTAGACCTGAAAGGCATGAGGGAATTCTCTGTTTCAAACAGAAGCCTGTTCTTAACTCTAGAGGTTTTGCAGGGTTTATCTGCAGCCTGCCTCCCTAGCAAGCCCCAGCAGTGAGTCTCCAGCATAACCACCACAAGCTGTGTGGCCACATGCCGAGTGAGGCCCTCCCAGCAGAGGAAAGATGCTGCAGAGCATGATCTTGTGGATAAGATCCAAAGAGACAGAGCAGCAGTGAGGAGGCGGTACCCTGACAGAACAAGATTTGAACACTGGGAGCGTAGGCAACCTGGGAGCTCCGGACTGATAAAGAAAAAGTTTAACTGGTTGCAAAGTTCCTTTAGCTGAGTATTTTCTTGCCAGGAGCCTTCTGGACTAGGTTGGATGCCCACCCTCAAGGAGAAACTCAAAACAAACACCAAGGCTGGGTGTTATCCAAGAGCACTTTGTATGCTGCAGCACCAGTACAGACAGCCATACTCGGCACTTCTGCACAGTGCCATCAAAGGACAAGCGTGGATGAGTGATGCGTACGTTCCACTGTAGCGTATCCCATCACATCGAGCACTGGAACACTGGTTTCCTGAAGTAATGGGTTAGGCATGTTTTACAGCAACACTCCTATTGCAGGTTTTGTTAACAACCTCAAAATGCCTGCTGCACCAGCAAAAAAAGAAAGTCAGCCCTGACCTGCAGCAAAGCGCACGTGTGGAGATTTGACAGCAGTTCTTCCCTGTCAGCCCTGTGCAACCAGAATTGCCCAAATTCTACAAAGGGCTTTGGGAAGCTAGTAGAAAACAGGCAGACAGCAAAAAAAAAGTTATGACAAGTTTGTACTGCTGCAGAAAGTCACAAATGTGTATCATCCCAAAGGAAAAAAGTATGTTCTTGTCTTCAACACAACCGTGCAGCTGGCAGGGACCACTCCTGCCTTGCACAAAGATGTACTGCCCAATGGAAGAACATGTCCCTGGCGTTATCTGTCATCACAGAGACTTTGTGGGCTGCAGCAGTGGATGATGATCGTTGCAGATTTTACTTTTTTTCCTTAGAAAGTAAGTATTGATGGGTTTTGTACTGTCATACCAGCTCCTCAGTTCACCCTGCACAGGCTGGAAAACCAACATTTGCCTGGTTTCAGACCCTAATGCAAAGAGTGCTGGAAAACGCTACAGCCTGCTTCTTGGTCCACATAACCCTTCAGCTGCCTAGAGAATGAAGTCTGCCGCAGCTTCTGCAAATCCAACCAAGCATCACATCAAAGCCAAAAACACAAGCACAAGAGAGAAAGAAAAAAAAAAAGTGTCATCCAACAGGACCAGGGGTAAAGCTGCATGGTGTTTTTCTCTACTGGAAGGTTCCACGAGGAGCCACATCCCTAATAGGAGTGGGAAACATGATGTTGTCCTGGACGCATGTGAAATGCAGACTGCTCTTCCACCTGCTGCCAGGCATGAGTGTGTCTGGATGGGAGGATGGGCACTGTTCAGGCAAAGAGAAGACTGAGGGACACAACTCCTCTTCCACTTCCGAGGCGATTATCCCACTGTATCCAAAGTTTCCCAGGAACCCCCTCTTGCAGGCCGATTAGTGTGCAAACCCAAAGGAAACAACTCTCTTACACACAAAGCATCGGCAAAGACACTAAGCAAGTGAAACTGGTTCAAACATTGCCAGCGCTGTGCTGAGCATTACCTGGGAGAGAGGAACGAGGAGCTATTAAAGCTGCTTTCCCCATTACACAAGCCGTCCGAGAACAAATCTGCTTCATTCCCTTCTCCGTAATCCTCAAAATGTTCCTCTCCGCTAATGACCGTAACGATGGAGTGGCTGAGGTCCGAGCCCAGGGGCAGGTCGTGCGGATGGGATCTGTGGGAACAGAGAGGAAGACATTAGAGGGTGGCCACTGCAGCAGCCTTTCCAATTGCATCCAATACACCCACTTTCCAAGTCACATCCCCCATTTCAGTAGACCAGGCTAGCTCTTCCTTACAGTGCAATTCACCCTGTGCCTTGAACACTGAAGGGGCAGCCCAGGCACCACTGGGAAGTTTGCAGCAATTTTTTTCACAACAAACCAATGCTTTTTCACACAAGCTCCCCTGGCAGCTGCAACACAGGATTTGGGGGTAGTCAGACTTGCAAGACGGTACCCAGGCTTGGTGGCAAGCCCTTGCACAGCACGAGGTGCAAGCAAAAGCACAGCAGAGAAAAAGCTCAGCATGTCCCAAACACACCCTAAATATGTTGTGGGTTACATTGTCATCCTATGTGCCGGGCTCACACTCACTTACTGCTGTATAATCCTATCAAGAGCCCAGGACCGGGGTTTAACACTGTAACCCCCCCTCCATGACAGAAATCCCAGTGGTTTATAGGCAGCTGCCAAACCCGGCAGTGACAGACCCCCTGGCAAGACAAAGGAGCCCTTTCCCTGCTCCTGCTGGGAAAACACTGTACACGCTCATGACAGTCTTGGAGGGGAGAATGCTGTTTCATGTGTTTTTAGCACCAGATCCAGAAGGCTGTAGTGCGTTAAGCCTCAGCCTAAACCCTGAACACACCCAGCACAGGTCCTCGGACGTCCCTTGCTTTGGAGGGGACACAGCTCAGCACAGAAGTCATCGTTTCTGTAAGTGTCTTTTCACGTGCACAGTGTTGTATGAAGTCAAGCCACCATGGCAGTATGCACCCACTCTCAGAGGACCTTCCTGCCCGAGACTGCAGAGGCTTTAAAATTAAGCTGGGGGAAAAAGGCAGGGGGGATTTGTAAGAACCAGGCTGTGAAAGCTGCCCACATGTCTGTGAACCACAGGTATGTGTTTTGGGGGGATTAGCATCGCTCTCCTCTCCAAAATTCAATGCTAAAAAAAAGATTGCATTATTATAAAAGCTGATATTTCAGGCTATGCCCCCATCTTCATCCACTTGCTAGGAGAGGGAAAATGGGGGTATGACTAGATTGCTGTACTAAATCAGAAAGAAAAAAAGATTACAGATAAGCCATTTATGACAAAAACGTGCACCATCTGAAGGATTTGCCCTTATCCCACTAATAAAAGCATGTCAACCCTCCAGCCAAAACCATAGCAGATCTCTATTTAACCGCAGACAAGTCCAGTCCAGCCTGTGGGCATCTGCACATCCTCCTTGTGCACTTGAGAAGCACCGTTATTCCCGCAGTGGGATCCGTCAGAAACCCATCCTCCCCAGCGGTGAGTCAGACGCTACACCCAGCAGACCATTGCCGAAAGCATCGGAAATCTCTCCAGGAATAGAAGGCAGGGGGTGGAATTTTTAACTCACAAGCAAAACCCAACCCCAAATCTCTAAATTCGGGGCTGCGGTTTGACAAGCACTGTACAGAAGCAGATCTGATCAGGCACCTGGAAACCCTGAAAGCCACGGATGCTTTCGGCAATAAATAGTACGACTATTTCATATACATGTACTGGGGCTCTAGCAGTTTCAAGATCCAGAGTCCAACTAATCTTTACTACGCACAGCCTAAATAACCACTTAAGCTCAAACCATCTAAGGTATGTTGAGCTTTAGCAGCTACTGAGAAGCAGTGTGGAAGCTTTGATTCAGTCCACCAGCTGTGCTGGTCAGACTGCACTTACTGACTGTCCCCTGGAAGAGCTCTGGGCACTAGAGGTGTAAAACAGTTGTCCTGCCTGGGGTTTGATGGCACCAAAACCAGCCCTCAACAACTTGGAAAGAGAATTCCAGAGGTTTCTGTTTCAAGCATTCCACATCTTTAAGCCAAATGAATTTTTTCCTTGAATTCTTTTTTTTTGGCTACCTGGAATTTGCACACATTTAACACACCTGGCAACAGGTACCACTGCGTTTGGACAGACACCCAAAGGACACCTGACCTTCCCAAGCCCACACTGGGAGCAGCAGGGAAGCCTCAAGAACAACCTAATCTTAAAAAAAATTCCCAAGCAAAGTATTTTGTACCTACAGGCAGGTGAATCTGAGGCACGTCATTTTCCCCAGAGGATGAGAGCGTACGCAGGCTGCCATGGCCCCTCCAGAGACCCTCCACCTGGTAGTCAGCGAGCTCAGCAACCGATTATATCCCAATTTAACTGTCACTGAGCTGAACACGCTCAGGCGAGGAGAGCCTAGCCAGCTAATCTTATTTCTTCCTTAATCCACAGCACCCTTTGAGCCCCAGTGCCGAGTGCCCAGCAGCACTGACCACTCACCACATCTCTGACATCCCCAGATGTGATTTTGGAGTGGGAGGGAAGCCCAGTGCTTTCTAAAAGCAATGGGAACCGTAAGTACTCACCAGAGCACCAAGCCTGGGTGATGTGTTTTTGGCCAAAAAAAATTCTGTGCATTAGCAGACCTTAAGTGATGATGGTTCCAGAGGTTTCAGTGCAGAACTGGTGCTCTTGGGTCACTATTAAAGGAGTTATTCCCTCCTCTCCCGCCTGCCAGCATCCCAGTTTCACCCCAAAACCCACTTTTCCTGCAAAATCTAGGAAATGAGGCGGGCCCAGGAGCAGTTTCGCCAGCAGCGGTTCAGACCTCGGGAAGATGATCTTAGCTCACACTTTTGTGCTTCAGGCACAAGTTTAAAACTAGTTATTACAGGAGGTGGTTGCACATCAAAGGGCACACGCATGTTTAGGTAAAACAAGAATACGATGAGTTCCCCTCCTGACTTGAAAATTATATGTTGCGTTTCTGGCTTAAGTGATAGATTAAAAACTGCAAGTATTTCAGGTGTTTGGATCATCTAAGAACTTATTTTAGAGGTTAAAGATGCTAATGAGGGTACAGAAGTTCTCCCAAGGCAAGCAACAATTAACTCAAAGAGATTGCCAGGCCAAGCTCCAAAACAGCCTACACATGGTGCAGTCTAATTATTATCATTATTCTTAAAGAAGAGCTATTTTGGTCTTGCATGAAGTTACAAATACAAAGAACAAACCAACCAGTTTCAGCAAGACAGACTCAGCCCACTTCATTTTAAGTCCTCAGGCTCTGTCTCCCTCGGTTCTCGTGTGCTCCCAGTTTGCCAGTTTCCTGCCCCGCACGGTGAGTTTTGCTCCTGGCCGTTCCCACTCACCCATGCTCCGGCTCCTCAATGGGATCCGTGAACTCCGAGTGCACGGTGGAGTCGATGGCACTGTCTGTTTCTACTTCGTCGTGCATCTCGTGATGTACTAGTGTGCTGGTGTCTTCATCCGTGAAGGTTTCGCACTCGCTGTACGTGCTCTCTGAGCCCATGTAAGCACTGTCAGTCACCTCATTTGCCTGTTAAACACAAGAGGGAAAAAATAAGATACTGTAGCTATGCGGTTTCATTGCAGAGCAGGACAAAACACGTATGGGGCAGCTAATTACTGCTGCATTGCATTTCTAAGCACAGAAATCTGACCTCCTAAAACCAGCGTGAGCCGTACCCCACGTCCAGGTGCTGCTCTGCCTCCAGGTCCAAGGACCGAGTGCTGCCCCGGGGTGCACCACTGCCTTTGGGCCACGCATTCTTTGCAACAGCAGTGTTTGGAAAGCAGATTACAGAAATATACACTAAATAAGAGTTGGAGGGAGATTTTGTTGTAAGCGAGTATGGATTTGTCGAGTCCAGGAGGGATTACGCACTGCTTACTCAGCAGTTCCGATCACTGCTGCTTTTGCCCACTCCGTTTTAAGAGGACACACTATTAATCTGAATTCTCTGCAAAAATCACCATTCAAAACTACCAGTTAGCCCTTAAAGCACTTTTTCCCCCCTGTCTAGTAACATGAGGGCATCTTCCATTCCTCAACAGAAAATAAGCTGGTTTATAAATCTTCATTATAGCATCTAATTTGCAGGGACTGCATCAGAAGGACAGTCAGATCTCTACACTCCAGCTGGAACAGCATCTCAAATATTTTGCACTACTTTACCACATCCATTACCTGAAGCAAGCTCTAGGAAAGCAGCACAATTTGGTTTTTAAGACACCACGCTATGAGCACAGAGAACTGGGTTTTCCTCCCAGTTCTGCCCCTCAGGCAGGTATTCATCTTCGTTCCTGCCCGCATGCTCATACAAATGGGCAAGGATGGTCCTGCCTGGAGACACGCGGTGCTGAGCCTAGAACCATCCCCATGTTCGGAGGAGAGCCATGGGAACACTTGAAGAAACACCCTCCTAAAGCAAAAGCTCTTATTACCCATCAAAGTGCCAGCTCCAGCATTTACGGGATTTCCCCAGAGCACCTCAGAACAAATCAAATCATTTTTGGCTCTGGGATCTCAGTCGTGGTGGGATCTGTCAGTGCTGGCACTGAGCTCCAGCTGATCGCCTGTCTCTGGAGCTGTCGAGGGATGGGAGCCCTCCTGCCTGACCTCAAGAGAAAAAGATGTTCATGAAAAGTCGTTTGCTCCATCTGAAATTCACCCAATGGGATCAAACTTGCTCAGCTGCTGGCTGTACCCCCTCCAGCACAGCAGCAGGACAAAGCAGCAGCATTTTGAACGCAGGCACAAACTGAAGCAAACCGCTCTTCCTCTGCCAGAGAGCGCACAGAACAGCTTTCAGGGCTTTTTCCAAGGATTTTTGAGAAAACAAGATTTCTCAAAGCCCTGTATTACAGCAGCTGGAAAGAAAATGCACAGACATACTGTCCTTGCAACAGCAGAGTGAAAAATTATGTTAGAGCTGTTCATTCAAAGCAGGGTATGTATATGGCAGGATGGAAGAGCCCTGCTCATTGCTGCAGACGTTGCCCTCCGGTAGAAGAGCAGCTTTTAGGGCACATGCCATATTTGTACGGCAGGAGAGCAGCACACCAAGACAGACAAACGTCCCGCTGCCTTTCTGTTGCCTAGACTTTGCAAACACTGCTCTCACCAGCCTGATTCTTCTCTTTTGGGTAAACACTCCACAACCCAAAGAACTTCTGCAGCTTTCACTGCTGCAAAGCAGCTCAAGACACAACCAACACCTCATTTGTTTCACCCACAAATTCCCACGCTGCCTCAACACACATGAGGCCAAAAAGGGATAGCAAGAACTTGTACGGGTGCTTTGAAAACCTCGAAGGGATGGAGAGGGAACTGCTTGACAGCAGTTCCTATTCTACATGGACACTGGGGACCAGAGCAAAGCAACCTAGTGAACACCCTGGCTTTGCTCCCTGCTGAGCGCTCTCATCAGCCCCTGTGCCAACTAAGCACACTCAGCTGGGTGATGGATGGAGACAGACAGACAGGAGCTCCTCTTGGAAACTTGGCTCAGCTTTCATGGACCCACGCTGACTTCTGGACACCAGCATTTCTCTAGGACACCACTCTAAAGTTAAACATGACATAAACCTTCACAGAACCAGAGTCTAAAGTTAGCATCATGAGAAGACAGGGCTGTTCAAGTGAACTTGATTCAAACAGAGGATAGGCTGCTGTGGCAAACGTCATCCCTGGCACGGGAGAAGGTGGCTTTCACTAGCCTTCGAGATAGAAACAAAAGCCTCCTAAAACCCCCACCCACTTTAAAAAGCATAAATCCAGCAAGACTACTTATACACCTAAAGCCGGGGACTTGCTTAAGTGCTTTACTGGATTTATGTTGCACTTCTTAGAAACACCATTCAGGCTCTTAATGCTTGAGCAGAAGGAGGACGAGGGAGATTTGGAAGCAGAGGCTTGGTCTGCCAGCTCGCTCATGGACATGCGAGGACATTGCACCATCCCCAAGCTGAGACCGGCAGCTCCCCAGCTTTCAGAGAAGGCACACTTGGGCAACTCAAGTGCTTTTCCAAGCTATTTACAGTGTACACCAATTTTAGGAGAGGCCAGGCTTCAGCATATCAGACAATGCTGTATTGCAACACTGGTTATGTTTGGCTTTGGGGAAAAACACCCCAACATTTCCAGCCCACACTGCATGTCCCCAGTGCTTGCAGCAGCGATGACGCTTCATGCTGGACTGGCATGGCTCTACCAGGTGGGAACCAGTGGGGACCTGATGCAGCAGAGAGGGCCCAAGAGAAGACAGCAGCCATCCACATCTGTGGATTTCCCTGCATGCTTCAAAGGGATACTTCTTGCCTGCTTGAAAAAGATTTAATGCCAAGCTGGAAATAACTTTGTCTGCAGACTCCAAAGTAATGCTGCTCGGTTGTTTTTTTTTAAATGCAAAAAAGCTTCTTCCCACTGGAAAAGCTTAAATTTAAGTATACATTGAAGTATTATAATGAGCACAAAGTAAAGACAACTATTGCAAAGAAACCAAAAAAACCCCAAACCAAAACACTCCAACCCACAAGTAATTTGATTAAAAAAACACCCTGTTGTGGTTGCCATTGCTGACTCTCTCAACATGAAGCATAACCAGGAGCTGAACAGCTCAGGGCATCAGTCCCCTTAGTTAGATGACTTATCTATCAAATTGTTCAAAGCATTTTATTGACAGGAAATACCAGTATGGACAGGCTGAACGAGGGAGCAACCCTTTAGAGCTAGAAGTAGCCACCAGAACAGTACATTAATCATCCTCCTTCACCCAACACCAAGGATGTGCAGATTTATTTATTAAAAAAAAAACCAACAAAAAAACCTGTAACACAAGTTGCAAACTTTTTTGTGTTTAGCAGAGAAGAAATTTTTTTCTCTTGTAATAACGAGCCTAGATGAGAATCAAATGCAAGAGCCCTATTAAAATTAAACCTACGTGGTCAATGAGTTAAGAAGGCAGTTGAAACTGTAAACAAAGTCCTGAGCATGAGCATGGAGAACTTTGCTTTACATTTCATCACAGATTAAGTAACTAAACCTCAAGAAAAGATGCAAGGAGGAGATAGGCAAAACAAGGGACTTCGGTAAGGTATTACCAAATGCCTGATAAAGCAAAGCAAAACCAAGTCCCTGTGCCCTGGGCAAAGGTGCAGCCGCAGGTCACAGAAAGCTCTTTTTAATGGCCTCATGAGCAGCTGGTTTGTGCGCTGACCCTTTAAACCCCCCTGCCACATCTCTCCTTTAGCCAAGTTTGCCTTTCTGTGAGCAGGCAGAAAGTAAACACTGTTTCCAGATTAAAAAAACCCACAATACACTTAAAGAGGTCCGTGGGCTTGGAACAGCCAGGCTAGGCTACAAGTGTCCTAGGGGACTTGCCAGGAACATCCCCACCATGTTCAGAATGGGGTTGGTGTCACCAGTATCAGTGTATTTTAAATTTTTATCAAATAAAACACATCCTTAGACATTTCAGGTAAACCTCAGACCTCAAAACTGGGACACATGCACACACCCACCCCTGAACTGAAACAGGATCATGGTTTGACTGAAGTTCCCATCCCTGACTCCAACTCCTCCACGAGCTATCTCCCCCGGTGCCAGACCTGTTTACCCTGGCTGAGCACAACATCGGCCACCCGGGCACATCTCTGCCTGTTCAAAGGTGTTCGGCAAAACACCGGGGATTTGAAAGCCCAGCAGTGAGGCCTCCTGCTTCTAAAAGGACATAAATGGATGAAATCAGCATCAGGGTCACGTAATTAATGTGCCCTGAGAAAGCAGGCGAGATGATGAAGCACCTTTATGACACTTTTCCAGCAGCAGTTCATCTATTCCAGGCATTTGATTACACATTGGTGTAAAGACCATTTGATTAAATGTTGTAAAGTGCTATAAAAATGACCTTGATTTAAAAAAGCTGCTTGAGTATGAGGAGAAGAAACAAGGCTATTGGGAATCAGTTGCAAGGTCTAGGCAGGGACAAGTTAAGCTTTGATCTGTGATGGGCAGAAGCTTTAGCAAGCCATTGCCTTGGAGAGAAGAGCAAAGTCTGGCTCCCAGGGAGGTTCCTCCCAGGCATTTTCTGCAGCACTGGTCCCCCGCTTGTGCCCAGAGCCGTCCTGGCATCCCAAAGCCCTGCTGTCCTCGGCCACAAACACTCGGAAGCTCAGGAAAGGAAGTGAGGGGAGAAGAAAAGGAAAAACAACTCTGTTTTCCCAGCAAGCATGAGCCTATTTTTGATGAACGCCAACTCTAACTGCAGACAGGGGAGACAGGGGAGACAGTCCAGCTAGGAAAACCACCCTCCAAGGACACCATCGTCTGCTGACTGCGGCCAGGGCCCCAGTGCCAGCACCAGGCTGGGAACGCTGCCTTGTCCAGAGCCGAGCCAACGCCAGCCCTGCGAAGGTCCGGAGACCAGCACACCGCAGCTGCGGGACAGGCTCCATCTGAAAGGAGAAGGGATGAAGAGCGTCCCACCTACTCGGTGCAGCATCCTACACCGCAGAGGCGGCCCGGCACAGCTAACA